GATTATATCCATACCTTTTTCGTAGAGGGCTTGAGCTGAAAAATCAACAATTATTCAACCATATATGCGCAATTGCGGTTATTTAGTTTGGGTACCTTCGATCTCTCGAGGTGTAGGTTCAGCAACAGGTTTCTTACGAATATTTTCAATAGCGGCTATTTGATCTTCCAACTTCTGGCGAGTTAGTTTTTCGTTCAGCTGCTGTTCGAGTAAGGCTTGCTGCCATATTTTGAAGCGTGGTCCGACTTCATTATCGAAGGCTGACAACGATACAACTGTATTGCCTGGTGTTTGGGTAACTGGAGCATCCGTGGGCGACTCAGTTTCAGTTACGTATTTAGCTGATTTTCGTTCATTGCTAACAGTGTTCGTATCTGTGAATTCTGCTGAATTTGCACCTTTACCAGCTACATTTTCTGGTTGCGAAGTTGTTGTTTCTGGTTGAAGTGCATCTTGCGAATTTGCATTATGTGTAGAAAGAGGTCCCTGCAACTCAGCTGTTACTATACTGAGAATAAGAAGTGGCAGTAAAAGCAGCACAATAAGGGACTTGAAGCGGACTTTCATAATTTCCTGAATATATTCTGATAACGTTATATACGGTGTGGTTATAAATTAATTTTTATGTTTGCTCCGAAAAATCCTGTTGAAAAAGTTCTTCTAGATTTTGCGTAAAAGAAGAAAAACGAAGACACATTACGAACGAGATATACGCAAAACTAATGATATATCTTTAGTAAGTTCTGCATTACTTGTGTTTAAATATTATTGTTGCGATAAAATAATGTTTCCAATTCACACGTAAGAAAATACACTTTTTTTCATATCTACTTAAATGTCAAAATAAATGATAATAGAGTTACCAGACAATATTTTCTAACGATTGTGTTTTGGGGGATTTGCTATGAAATACATACGAGCAAAGTTTTTGCACTACACCTGCATGATATTAATACAATAATAATATTTATTATAATTTTTTTTTTATATTTACGACTATATTTCGCAGCAAATTGTAATTACAGTGAATTACTTTGGAAAAAACTGAATTGTAAATATATTTATTCACAATATATAATATATATCTAAACATAACTAGTTTTTGTTTTTTTTCACCGCATTTAGCTCATAATATGAGTATAATGCATGTAGTATTATCTACTTATTCTTATAAATTTTGAAGCAAGGCAATTTTGAAGTTAAATAAATTAATGAACTGTCATAGCAAGACCCGTGTGCCGGATATGTGGACAATAATGCAACTTGAAGTTCGACGGTTATTAATATTTTTGAAATGTATTGTAGTCAACTACATGTTCCATAATATTAAAGTATAAAAAATTAAACTTCATGGTGAAATTAGGTATTTTATGTCGAATTAATCGGGTTATTGTCAATTGCTTGTCCAATTTAGACAGTGATACGTAAATAAACTAATAAATTACAACAAATATAGATTAATAAAGAGAAATATATTTCAGTCCGTGAATCGCCTAAAAAGAGCGCACGCTTTTGCCAACTGAAAAACAAAGAGAGTCTTTTCTTTTTTATATCCTTCAGAGTGAATCAGTATTTGTTACACACATACAGTTACTGCAATGTAACTGTTTTTATTCACCGACTGTAAGAGCATTGTAGCAGAATTAACACAATGTTGAACACCAGAGAGCATAGGTAAAACCTAGGATCAACCACATACGCAACTCAATGTGATACGGAATACCAGCTTCCACCAACATCCTTCTTCCATCTGCTGGCTACCAACTTCCATCTGTTCGTGCAACTCTTTGCGCCGTTCTTGGTTAAGGCGATGTCTCGGACGACATCAGCTATTTAGTGTGGCGCTCGAGAGCAACGGTGCAGGTTGGTTTTCGCATTCGAATTGGATTTTTATGTGGATTATGTGGTCCCTACACTATGGTTGTGGCATTGTGTATTGGGTGATTGGGTGTGAAGTGTATTTATAAGTAAAAAATGGGAAATAATATTTTGCAAAAATATCGTGTGAAAAATTTAAATAATGTGAAGGTTTATTAAGTACAGCGAATGAAGGAGTGCCTCATACAAAATTTAATTATCTATCTATTCCTAAAAGTAATAACTTTAGCCGAGCAAAGTGAAATATTAAATTTTAACCAAAAATTGTACGGCTATACCGACCAAAGCCCATTAACCAGAAGTTGGAAAGAGTCTCCGGACGGGCCAAGAAAATTTCCAAACAATGTAAGGACAAAAGGACGGACTAAAATATTGTGATTTACAAAGGCGAGACCTGAAATGAAAAAAAAAACAGAAATATAAGAAACACACCCACCATCACGCTTATACATGCATATACATACATACATATGTATATATGTATATATATACAACATTTGGGCTTTTATCCATATTGTTCGTTTCCCGTTACTTTTTTTATTTAAGTACTTTTTTTTCAAATTTAACAAAAAATAATAATCTTTCGGAAATTGCAAAGTGTATGAAATTGAGTGTTATTAATAGAGACTAGCGTTAGGATTGGAGATGGATTTTACCCACCGAATATTTTCCTTTCGCATTTAGAGCCGCTCCCAATTTGCGAAAATAAGAACAACAACAAAAGTGAATGGTTGCACACGAATGGTAACGACAGCGAAAAGCGGATGCTGCGCCGAGAATGGTTTACAAAAACAATAGCAAGAATAAACATCGACAGAATACGGGTGTAAAGATAAACCGATGAAATTTAGAAAACAAAGACAAAAAATGTGGAAACGAAGAAATACATGCACATATGTATGTGTGTAAAGTCTATATTTTGTAATGAACCAACTGAAGAGAATTTAGAATGTTGGAAAAAATTAAATTCATACAATAATTCAACCAACTAAATTTCAGTTACAGTATCGGGACGAGCAGATACTTGAGTGTACTATTCGTATAATCCGTTATTAGGCTTCTGCAACTGGTTTTACAATTTTAACTGGCCATTGTGTTTGTTGGTTTCACGGCCAAATTGTCCATATCCGTTTTGCAGTAGTAGCTCGGAATCAGTTGGTGTGCAGAATAGTTGAATATGATGTCAAGGCCTTTGCTGCATCATCACCACTTTACACGCACACGTGTTTCAGGTATCCTACGAGTCAGAAAAATGTGTGTTTTTTGAATTTTTTATCAAGCGCAGTTTTATTTAATGAATAAATGAAAATAATGTTCAATTGTAAAATTTAACGTACTTTAAAAATTGCTAATTCATTTTTGAAATTTTTTTGGCATTCCTTGATCCCGTAGCCAATCTCCATTGGGACTTCCGAAAAAAGATGATTGGCGCCGGCGAAGTTTTATCTGCCTAAAATTGTGCCAAATCTACAAACCCGAAAATGGCGGTTTCACAAAAAGAACGTAGATTTTTGTGAAAAAATTTACACTTAAGAGTAGCTTAAAAAATCGAAATTGTTATCAAAAATATTATTACTATACTACGATCATTACTTGACAAAAGTAATTTAGAATGTCGTGTTTAAATTTCAATTTCATTGGTTGAGCCGTTTCCGAAAAAATTTGCTTACTGACTTTGAATCGTTTCTAGAAAAACGATTTTTGGAAGCTTATTTTTGAAAATTAATTACACAGATTCCCCAAAGTCCTCCAAAGTATTCCTTAAATGGTATCCCGTATGTCTGACAAAAGCTTTTCATAAATGTCTCAGTTGGTCGGATCGGGTCCAGTAGGAACGTCCAATTGCCGTGGAAAATCAAGACGCACTCAAGAAATCGAAGGAGATAATCGGAAGAATTATTTAGTGACAAGTGTGAAAATATAAATTAAACAGTTAATTATATATGAAGACATTCTTTCAGTAAAAAGAGACTTTTGAAAGCTTTATAATTATTATTTTCAAGTAATTACTTATTTGAATGAATGAATAAAGTTACTTAACTATCCTTTGTAAAGTCCGTTCATGCGGTGAAGTAAGATCTTCTAAACATTACATAAGTTATGCATAAACAAGAGATATCTACTATAACTATCACCAAATTGGATGTTGATTTTACGTTCGTGACCATAGAAGAAGAATTATACCTGAATACCTCTAATATGAACTCAATTTGAAATATCTACGCCTTCTTACATAGCATTTGCAGTTTTATGATAAGCTGTAGTAATAATAGTGCCATTATTCTTATTATTATCAATCTCAATTTGTTTACTTGGTCGCTTTGATTTAATCAACTCAATTCTAAAGCAGGCACCCACAAGTACAAGCAGATTTAAGTCATGGAAAAATAAGTAAATACGAATCACTTTAGGTGCACCCAGCGCACGAGATGGAAGTTCCGATTAAAATTGCGATGAAGAGTTCAAAATTTGATGAATTATTATTGAAATATTGTGTTAATAATTTTAAATTTTTGAAATTTTTTTCAATTAAAAAATTATTATTTTAGCGTTTAACCACCTTTCGAACAAATGCCAAATTTTCGATCACAAAGACAAAAGTTAATTGTACAGGACTCGGGCAGGAATTTGCAGTCTGCAAGAACGTCTGATTGTCTTCGTCAATTATTTCTATTTGTGTATTAATTTTAAATTATAATTTCTAAAATAATTGATATTGGCATATTTCATTTGTTTTTATATCTTGCTACAATTAAAATAGATTTTGTGTTGTAAAAATTTCAATAGTAGTACAAGGATCAGGTGTTTTTCAGTCAAATCAATGGCGCTCTCAGTTTCTTACATTTTATATTTAGTATTTTGTAAAATTAATAACATCACTAGTCTCCATATTGAACACCCCTAATAATAAAACAGCTCTGTTCGAAAGTTGCAGGCATAGTCTGTATGTCCATATTAACACAAACATTGGGTATAAATATAGGAATATGAATTTAATTGAATTTATTGTGCAAACAATTGTCTGAATTGATGTGAATGGCAAAGCAGATAATTCTTAGTAGTGCCACTAAGAAGTGGTGCCATGAAGCGCGGGTACTTTTTCAAACAAATTCTGACTAAACGAATCAGCACTTAAGCTTGGGTTTATAGGCGTAAGGCTAATTTAATCATTAAAAATTTCGTTGTTGATTGCAAATCGCTTTCTTGCCTTTGCTGAGTTGCGTCGTTTGCTGAGTTATATCAAACATTTAGTTTTGAATTCGCACTATTAGAGTAATGTACATTTTACCGCAGCGTTCGACAGCGACAATAGACGGAAATAGTTAAAAGAAAATACCGTTGAGACGTGCATATATGATATGAAGTTCAATAAAATACTACGAAATGCTATGATGGAGTGTTATTATTTTTAATTTTCGATCAATGAGTCAAAATACTGAAATTAAATAAGTAGAATATAATAAAGGTATATTATAAAAATATATTTTTTTTAGAAAAGTGAAATGATTTTATTTAGTAACTTAAAGTGCTTTTTATTAAATTAAAAATTTCCACCTCATTACGCACATGTTTTTCAGTAGCTGCAAGGATTTTCAGTTAACAGTTGTAGAAATAATTGTTGACTGTGTGTAAGTGAAGTAAAGTGAATGATTGCATGAAATCGTAAATAAAATATACAAATAATAGTATAAATACTACACGAAATATAAAAAATAATATAAAAAACATTTAAAAAACTAAAGGAATTGGGGTAGCTGAATTGAAAATCACTAAAATCTACTGGTGTGAATGTGCTTAGTTTCTTAAAAATTTGAAATAAAAACGTTGAAACTTCAAACTCAAGATGAGAATTTAAAAATAAATATTCGACACACGCAAACGCCATTTTAGACAGCTGAGCCGAACACACACAATGTCTGCAGCTATCTTCTGTTTTTATGTAAGTAATTAAGTGTTTCACTAAAATACCATAATCACTTTGGCGCACATTCACTAGTAATTAAAGGTGAAAGCAAACTGGAATATAGACAAAAAAAAGAAACAAAACAACAGAATATAAAAACATAAAGAAGAGTTAAGTCCATAAAGTGTCAAGTAGTACAACAACAAGAGCCACCAAGAGCCACCAGCCAGGCAACACAAGTGTCTTAATCACACACACACGCGCACACACAATTGTGCGTAAATATTGCTTGGATGCGCGTGCATGGCCATATAAAAATACGTCCGCTTACATACGCACAAGTGGATAAAAGTCCAAAAGGGCGTGTGTAGCCTTTGCAAAGTTGAAGACTGTGCGTTTTTTCATTGTTTTTATGCGACTTTTTTGTCCTTTGCTACTCTCTTCGAGTATATAATATACATCTTCATCGTTCATAAGCAGCTTTGTATGCGTGCGTATGTGCTTCTGGCTTCTAGCATCAGAGGTTAGTACGCTGAACAACTATAAAATGTGTAATTAACGATGTGCTACTCTCCACGAGTGTCTTTGCTAGAAAAATTAAAAACAATAAGGCATTTGAACATATATTGTACATAGTATAAAGGTATGTAAATACATCTGTATATACATAGGTCGACTTAAGAAGTGTACAAACAAACGACAACAAGCAGCTTTAGAAACAGCTGCCAAGTGCCATTTGGAAGGACAAAAAGAGTAACTGAAAGTAGTTAGAAAGACTCATTACATTGATTTCAGCCAATATTTACATGCATGCTTATGTACATATATACATATGCGAAAATATACACTGATTTATTCGACAATTTATTTTCGAAACGGACACACCAGTGTGTCAGCCACAATTAAGTATCATTGACAATGTGCTTTTAAGTGTAATAGTCGTGGAGTATGTACATACTCGTAAAAGAGTATAAATGGGAGTAAAGAGAACTTCGCTGAAAGAAGCACACGTGGTGGAAACTAGTACAAATACAAATTGGAATAACGGTACTCTTATAACTATTATCACTATATATTCATATAAAATTAAAAACAAAAGTCCGAAGCGTTATTGGTAATTTATTGCAAAATTGCTCATACGCCATGTCTTACTATGAACTATTACACTAATCAGGCACCAACGAATATATTGGGTTAAAACTTGGCACAAATATTGCTTTTATAATATGCTATCCCAAATCTAAAATTGATTATAAACGGGTCACATAATAAATTTAATAATATATCATGTAATATATATAGTAAAATCCCAAACAAACTTCTAATCCTTACAACTTTTCGTCTAATAATTAATGTTGAATTATTTCTCAACATTCCTTAATATAAAGTTTTGCCAACACCTGAAGGTATTTCCCTGGCTTTTATCCTTGCGAATGCATAAAATGTTCGGTTATACCCGAACTTAGCACTTCCTGACTTGTTTCTTAAATAAACATATAGTATATTTCGGTAGAGCTCATTTATCATTGATAAATACACATTCAAACAATTAGCTATTGCTTGAATTGGAAATATATAACGGAAACGGTAATTAGATACGCGAAAACAGGTTTTGTTAACTCTTTTATTTATGAGCCCTTTGAAGAGCGTTTTGTAACACAAAGAGAAAGTTACTTAGGCAGTCGCTCAAAGCGAATGAAAGGGAGTAAAGCCGAGAAAGAATGAAGCATTTCGTAAATGTGAATATTAAGAGAGTTTAAAACCCTAAATTTTAAAATTAAAGTATGTTTGTTTTATGAATTGTTTAATAGGTAGTAGCATAATATTTTAATCATGTTTCACTTTTATTCCATTTTATTAACTTTTATTGTACAAGTATATTTGAGTTTTCGGAAACATATGGTATATACAATACATATACTTGTAGTTTACTATTTATGGTCCTCCAGCTGCTTCAGAATTTAAATTTTTTGTTTGATGATTTGTTGTTGTTTTTTTTTTAAATTTATCGAGATATCAGATTATTGGAAAGTAATGTGAACTCGTTTCCGGAAAAAGTATGATTTAGGAAATATCATTTTTCACCAAGAAAAGTGCGATTTTGTGCATACACATACAAACGCAGTAGTTTCCTTTTAATTTTTGCCACCCGTAAATACTTACCGTTCTTTATCTAAATAAGCATATAAATTCCAGGTAAATATCAACGATGTCAAAGTTAAAGTTAAAGTAGTTATATAATATGTAAACAAGTCACAATATAATATAAAAGAAACTAATATTTTTGGCTTGACGATTATAAACATTGTTTAATTTCAAATATAATATGAAAAAAATATTCAGAAAATTTATTTAAATTTTATAAAATATATGAAGATTAAGTACTCAGGTTACTCGTAATGGGTTAATACATTTTACGAGTACATACAACCGTTAGTTGACCAACATCATATTATACTTATGCACAACAAAGTTACATTTGGGTTTACAAATAATGAGTCTTTCTGCAGTTTTAATCGCTATAAAGCAGTTATAAGCACTTCCCGTAGGAGCTCGATTTTTGTCTTCTGCCATAATAACTATTTTGTTGGCAAATAGTTGCTTTTGCAATGAGATAAGATATTATTCTCTGCATTCCAAATGATGGTTAGAGGTATATTACTTTTATTGTTATTAAATGTTATTGTGGCAAGTAAACTAATTTAATTTATTAACGATTGTAACGCTGCGACTCATACAATAACTTTTTGAATTTTGTTTAAATTTTAATTATGTTGAAGATTTTAAAATTAAACTTACTTTTCATTAGGGTTATCATAAATGTTTTGCTTGATAACAAGTATAATCCCTCATGGTTTTTTTCGATAAATTACTTTTTCTTAACATCTTTGAGCTTTGCCAGAACACCAACTGGTTCGAGCACCTAGTTTCAAGGCCACATTGTTCATATAATTTTAATCACTAAACAAAAATTAAATTACCGAAGAAAGAACTCTTGATTATCTTTAAGGACGTATTTTAGTCTAGCGACCCGAAATTCGAGTGTTTTTGGAAATTTATTATAATATCACTGTTATTTTTTCATTTGCTTATTCATATTCTTGAAATAAAGTGGAAAAACTTCGTCCTCGTCATCACGATTTCTACCCACAGGGTCATCTAATATATAAAACAATGAATGATTCTTGATTAGTACAAATGTCATTATCGTATAAACAAAACTGAAAAACAAAATTAATCATAAAATTGCGTTTTTTAAAAATCCAGTTTTTTAATGAATTACAAATTTTCAGTTTTTGTCAGTTCAAAGGAGAGAGAGATATTTAGCTCAATTCAATCGAATTGAGATTATCATTAAAATATTTTGTAAAAACTTTCAGCACTATTCATAGCTTAAGTCTAAAACTGTGTTTCAATTATTTTCAAAAAGTCAACCACTCTTTTGGTTTTTAATTTTCCAAGCAACGAATACATAGCGGCGCAAGAATCTCATGAACTCTAGAACAGTGCTTAGTCATTATGTCAGTGATATGGTAAGAACGAGTCTTCGCCGCAGGACATTATCGCCATGACCATCACTTCAGTGTCATTTCGTCGTTTAGGAAGGACGAACCGAATCCCCGCGAAGAAACACACAAACATACACTTTGCAACACTCAAGACAAGCAAGAACTCTTAAGACGAGCCAAGTCGTTTATGTGGCTGAATGAATGTTGCATGCAGCTGCAACTCTTCCGTGCGTTTACAGCGTCTTCTTGTGCTTTGTTTGTTGTTATTTCTTGCTGTTTTTAAGCGTTTGTGCAACGTCGCCGCCGCCGTCGCCATTGTTTACTGGCTACTTGTTGTTTGTTTTCTTAGTGTCATCATAATTGTGGTAGCTGATTGTTGTTGTTTTCATGTCGCCATTGTTCTAAGCAACGCTGCACTTAAGTGGTCCAGTAAGTTTTGGTCGTTAGGCATGAATAAAAAATATTTATTTGTGCAAACCTTTAGCAACGCGTGTGTTCATATTAAGCTCGCCTAGGCGCGGCCCACCTCAGCAGCTGAGCAACTTCGCTATGCGAGATCCACTTCTAAATAGACAATGCAGATGTGCTCATTTGGGCGGTGCAGACACTTACGAGAGTCGTATATTGTTCGCCAGTATTTTTTGTGTCTTGTATTTTGTGTTTAATAACGGTTTGTGCAGGTGGGTACGAATACAAATAAACTCAGCTTTCTTTAGCGGAATGTGTGTTGTGTCCCGCTGTTGGAAATATATTAAAGAGTCTGTTACTGCGGGCTTTAAAGAGTCTCTTGTTTGCATCAAATGTTTTTCTGTTTCTGGTTCCTTTCTTTTGTGTGCCGTTGTAATGTAAATGGCTTTCGAAAATTGTTGTCACTTTGTTAGATTGAAATTGACTGAAACATGAGCAATATTGCTGAAGCTATCTTAACACTACACTTGTTGTATTGATGCATGTCTTCCGCTCGCATTAGTTGAAATTGTCGTACATAAACTATAGAGAAATACATACATTTATACATACTTGTAGAACTTATATACATATGTTCTAGAGAGATAATAAATTGAAAAAGGGATTTTTAAGGACAATTGGTTCTGCACATACATTTTGAAACGTAGAATTAAAAATGTGAGGATAATTGAGAGGTACTAGTTCCAGCATCGAATTCAGAAAAGAAAGGGGAGAGAAGAAGCAAAATAGATTATTTTAGTTTGACCTTAATAACATTTATTTTTAAAATAGTCCAAAAACCAAAAAAATATCTGCCATATACTTTTTTTACTCTCGCAACATATGGCGAAAGAGCGTTTAATAGTTTTGTATTATTCGTGATAAATATAGTGTTATATATACAGGGTGGTGCACGAATCGTGCTACAAAAACAAACCGTAATAACTTAAATTACTAACTTAATCAATGCGTTGCATTTTATTTTTTGCTTATTTTATAGCAGATTTTATTTTATTTTAGACAATTAATTATTTTTAAAAATTATGGACCGTAAAGAACCTTCATGCTTCGCCACGCAAA